TCACTGAAACCTATGCCTCCCAAGTTCAAGAGATTCTCATGCCTCGGTCTCCCTAGTAGCTGGGATTACAGGCACCCACCACCAGGCTTGGCTAATTTTTTGTGTGTTTTTACTAGAGGCAGGGTTTCACTATGTTAGCCAGGTTAGTCTCGAACTCCTAACCTCAAGTGATCCTCCTGTCTTGGCCTCCCAAAGTGTGACTGCTACCGTGTCCCACCTAAATATATATAACTAAATAAAAGTTAAAAAGAAACAACTTGGAGAAGACAGAGACTTATAAGAAAAGAATACTAAAAAAAATGTAATACATCAAAACTATTCTCAGAGAGCTAAAAGAAACTAGGGTGGAAACATTTATTTTTTTTTTAAAGGTATATTCCAAGAACCAAAAGAAAGTCTTCTTTTTATGTTTTTTTGTTGTTGTTGTTGTTGTTGTTGTTGTTTGTGCCAGTAACACTATGTTGAGGAGTTCTTAAAATTAAAAAGATGATAGGAAGTAAAAAATTCAGTGGAAGGATTCAATGGAAGATAAAGCTGAGGAAACTCCCAGGATATACAGCAAAATGACAGGCTCAAAAATAGAAAATGCAACAAAATTGGAGGACTGGTCTAGGGGGTCCCATATCTTAAAAACAAGATTTACAAAAGAAGATGAAAAAAGAAAGCAGAGGTCTGGCAGTTTTTCAAGAACTATTTCAAGAAAATGTCTCACAACTGAAAGTTTCTCAATTAAAACAACCCATAAAGTGTCCAATATAATGGAGTAAAGCATCACCACCAAACCCGCCAATTATAAAATTTTGAAAAATTTATAATTCAAGAAGGAGAGGAATAAAAAAAAAAAAATAACAAAAAAAATTTAGAAAAAAAATTGGGAGGAAGGAAAAAATCTATAAGAAAGGCAAAAGCAAGTTTCATGTAAAATATCAACTATCAGCCAGGTGTGATGGCTCATGCCTATTATCACAGCACTTTGGGAGGCTGAGGCCAGGGGATCACTTGAGGCCAGGAGTTAGAGACTAGCCTGGCCAACACGATAGAAACCCCTCTCTACTAAACATACAAAAATTAGTTCGGCGTGGTGGCAGGCACCTGTAATCCCAGCTACTTGGGAGGCTGAGACAGGAGAAATCACTTGAACCTGGGAGGTGAAGGATGCAGTGAGTTGAGATGGCGCCACTGCACTCCAGCCTGGGCAACAAAGTGAGACTGCGTGTCAAAAAAAATAATAAAAAATAAAATAAAATATCAACTATCAAAATAATACCAGATTTCTCAAGAACTATAATGAAGCAATGCCTTTAAAAGTCTGAGAAAAATGGATTTTCATAGTAGAATCCTATACTCAATTTTTTAAAAAGAGATTGGGTTTTGCCATGTTGCACAGGCTCGTTTTGAACTCCAGAGCTTAAGAGATCCACCCACCTCACCCTCCCATGGTGCTTGGATTACGGGAATGGGCCACTGTGCCCAGCCCAGTCACACTATAAGAGTAAAATGTTTCATACACTGGAGACCTCAAAAACTTTGCTTCCTATACACCTTTTCTTGTGAAGCTTCTGGAACACATACTCCTTCAACCAAGAAAGAAGTGTGAGATCCAGAAGAGTTTCCAACACAGAGAAGGGTAAAGATAACTTCCAAGATAACAATAAAAGGAAATTGTAAGATGCTTAGAATCAATCTAAAATAAAGTAAGTCAAAAAGCTCCAGGAGAGACTTCCGACCTCTGCAAGGTGACAGGGATTGAATTTCAATGCGTATGAACACACTTGAAAGATAATATTTACATAAATTAGTGGTAAGAACAAAAATAAAAAGAAAGCAAATTAATTGACGATCAGTAACTCCAGGGAAGATTTTTAAAACTGAGCAAGGAAGAAAAAAGAAAACAGAATTCTACGTGGCTCAGCTATAACTATAATTTAAATATTTATAATGATGCCAATGCTAACTATTAATCTTGACAAAATTATGCTGTAACTGTATGTGTACGTAATGGAACACAAGTGGAAAGAGGGAAATCCTCATCTTTCACAGCGGGAAGTCAATAACACTGTAAAATAGAAAAATTAAGAAGCAATATAAGCATATTACTAACAGAAATAAAGGCAAATATCAAAAGAATCAACTAAAAGAGCTAAAAGTAATTTCCTTCAGAGAGCAGGAAATAGGAGTAAAGGTGAGGAACTACAGAGCTAGTGAGTGCAGAAGTGTACGCCTGTAATCCAGCACTTTGGGAGGCTGAGGCAGGAGGATTTCTTGCACCCAAAAGTTTAAGACCAGCCTGGGCAACAAAGTGAGACCCTGTCTCTACAAAAAGTAAAAAATTAGCTGGACACGGTGACATGTGCCTGTAATCTCAGCCACTTGGGAGGCTGAAGTAGGAAAACTGCTTGAACCCTGGAGGTCAAGGCTACAGTGAGCCATGTTCACGCCCCTGTACTTCACCCTGGGTGTCAGACTGAGGCCCTGTCTCAAACAAACCAACAAAAAATTGCAGAGCTACTGGTTTTTGTAACAAGCTTTGAGGAACTGCTTGACTTTTCTAAACAATGAGCATGGATAATCTTAATAAAAACAAAAAGTAAATGTAAAAGAGATAGGACACTTACCAATATACTTTTCTTGCTTTCTGAATAGAGGTAACAGTCTGAACTTCTTTTAATGTTTGCTTTGTTTTCTTTTCTGCTGATTTGAATGCCTATTTATGGAAAAGAGTTTTAAGAACAATTGGTTATGTATTTAACATCAAAGTAAATAATGGGGCAAGAAATTGTTTTTTAAATGTCACAAAATGGCACAATCTACACACACACACACACACACACACACACACAAATATGCATACTTCGGGTAACAAAAAAATGAAAAGATTTTTACCTTAAGTATTAAAATAATCTAAACAAAGATTTACTACTACATGCAAATATTTGCCCAAGACTTACAAATTATTAAATACCTTGTTCATTTTCTAGATACCGAGTGCTTATCATATTGTAGGTTCTGGGCTAGATACCGTTAGAGATACAACAGTGAACAAGATGGACAAAGCCCCCACTCCCACCCCAGGAAGTCTAGAAGAGACAACTATTAAACATATAATCCTTTAAATAAACATATGGTAAGTGCTTCTAAAGATGCTATAGGAATATAACAAGGAAACCCAATTTATACCAGATTAGGGTCAAAGAAGGTACCTCTGAGGAAATGACATTTAAGCAGAATCCTCAATGAATAATGGGATTATCAGGCAAAGAATAGGAAGAAGGGGGCTGGGTGCAATGGCTCACACCTGTAATCCAAGCACTCTGGGAGGCTAAGGCGGGTGGATCACGAGGTCAGGAGTCCGATACCAGCCTGGCCAGCATGGTGAAGCCTCATCTCTACTAAAAATACAAAAAAGTAGCCAGGCATGGTGGCGCATGCCTATAGTCCCAGCTCTCAGAAGGCTGAGGCAGGAGAACTTCTTGAACCCGGCAGGCAGAGGTTGCAGTAAGCCGAGATCGAGCCTCTGCACTCTAGCCTGGGTGACAGAGCAATACTCCTTCGTCTCAAAAAAAGAAAAAAGAAAAAACAGGAAAAAGGGTATTATAAGCAAAAAAAAAGAAAAAAGAAAAAAGAAAAAAAAAAGACCAGCAAGTAGTGATCAAGGGCAAAATGACAAGAAATGAGGTTGAGGTTGGAGCAGTAGACAGAGGGCCAAGTCATGAGGGCCACTCATTTAACAGCTATTGAAGTGCCTACTCCATTTCAGACAATATTCCATGGATTGGGATGCAGCAATGAACAGCACAAAGATTCTACTTTCATGTAATCTATATTCTAGAGGGAACCCAGAAAAAATATTCAAATAAACATGTTGGGCTAGGGAGTGTTTTTCAGGAACAAAAATACGGCAAATTATAGATAGAGTGATTCAGGGTGGTGCTATTGTTAGTAATCAGTGGTCAGGGAAGGATTCTCTAATTAAATTTCATTTACATAGACGAGAGGGGTCTAACTGAAAATTCCCAGTAGAGAGAACACCAAGGGCAAAGACCCTGAAAGAGGAGCATGTGCCATTATTTTATGAACAGCTAAGATCCCAGTGTAGCCAGCAAGAGTGTATGAGAGGAGGAATACAGGTGATGAACTCAGAGGCAAGCAGATCTCCTGTCTTTCTTGGAGGACAGAAGAAAGGCTCTGAATTGTATTAAGATGGGAAGCAACTGGAAGATTTTGTACAGAGAGAAAGGACTTCACTTTAAAAATTTTTTTAATATGTTTTTTTTTTTTTTTTTTT